TATATATATGTATGTATATATATAGTTTGGAAGTGTAAAATATATAATGACCAGAATGCTTCATGTAATGCTATTACATCACTGTATTTTTACAGTAAAGTTTTTTTTTACTGTACATTTAATTAAAAAGTTGTACTTATATATGCTTATATATATGCTTAATATGCCAACCTATTTTAAAATCATTTTGTTTCTATAAATAGAAATTCTAATAACACAGTTAAAATAATGGAAGACCACATGACAGCTTAAACGTCATCAAAATTAGTCTCTTCAGCAATTGTGTCAATAATAATATAAAGACAGAACACAGTGTTCCCACACAAAAACACAAAACAATATTAGGATAACACACATACACTAAAATAATGCAGTAAATATTAATATGACATGCAACATAAAACCCTCCAATGTGCATACCATACACACTTAATTACAAAATAATTAAGGCCATTCATATTTTGAAGTTATGAAATGAATTTATCAACTTTTTTTGTATTAAAAATACATATTAAATATATGTAAATCGTCTCCAGAAAATATTTAAATTTATACTTTTGTTTATATAAAAAAAAGGGTTACAATATTTTACTACCGAATTGTGTTTTAAATTATAAAATCACATCGTATGGTAAGGTTAACTTACAATTAACCACCTAAAAAGTTTTTACTGTGATGTTTTGCAATCTTTTCCGTTGTAATTACTATTCTTTTTATAGCGTATGCAGCCGAGTCAGACTTACAGGCAATCATATTTACAGTTATTTCAGGCGGAGGATCTGTGCAGTCTGACTAAAGGTCCAAACGCGCGGCAGCATCGAAACTGTGTAATGGGGAAATCTCGTTTGATTCAGCGAACCTCGCTCAGTTCGAGTCCTGCATCCCAAAATGAGCCCAGGGCGGGGGCTTATCGCGCGCCTCTTAAGCATTAATGACACTGCAATTGTCTGGCCTCTGGGCTGTCTGTCAACTGATCTCAACCAATCATTTCATGCTTGAATTCCTATGTGTTTACTGTCAGGTTTACACGGGGCTACTTAGCAAGATAACAACCGACCCCTTTCACAGATGGATCTTGCACAACATATCATATGCATGTAGAGAAGGCAGTCTTATTTACCGTATTCGCGAAACGATTACAGTAATTACCAGTCGCTACTGTAGATGGAGTCTGGAACAATACACAATCATCCTAATAGCCCCGCGCATAAGATTTACAGTCGGGATCATACAATACACATATCTGCCATTTAAAATCTAAACTTTGAAACGGTAACAATTTTCGTCCATTTTTTCTTTCCTTTGATTAAAATTGGCGATGACTCATATGCGCAAAACATAACCAATAATCAACCACCATCTGCTCAAACTGAACGAGAAAGACACCTTTAACACGCCTCAACCGCGCTCTCTTTCAGACGCTGAGGACAGGAAATATAGGGAGTCATCAAATATCGCTTAAGATGAAGCAAAGGCCAGCTGTAAACACAAACGAAATTAAACAGAAATAGAGCCGAGCTGCATCATCTCACCTGCGCGTGACTGCATCGAGAGCGTGAAGCGCAACCATAACTCACCGAAAACAGCACATAACCTCAAATACGTCTTCGAATTACATTTACACAATTCTTAATTATTTTACCTTGAGAAAAGGACCATTGTGCGCCCATTGACAGGTCAACCTCGCCGATGAACTTGGTTGATTTCCTCCACATCGATTCAGACTTTCATCTGATAAAAAAAAAATCACTGCATCGGTGTCGAATGAGCAGGAGAAATGGGAGCGATAAAATTGCGTATGCGGATCTCCAAAGTCCCAATAGATTTAAAAAAAAAATCAAAATGGAGCCAACAACCAATTAAGATTCAGTACAAAACGGTTCATGCTTAAGAAATTCTCCAATGTAAATGTTAGGTTTTTTCCCCCGTTGTATATAAAATAGAAGATATCGCTCCCTGTTCTGTGTGCAAGACAAGGTGCGATGTGTTCCACAGGCGAGCTTTGCCAGGGACTGTCAGCACATCGCGTCACGTGTCTCCCGGTTAGTGTGTGATGGAGACGGGCGGGGCGAGAGCGCTGCAGCACCTTGGACAGCGCTCACCGTTATTAGCAACTCCACATACAGATGAGGAAACAGCTTTATCCGTGATCGTGTGCGCCAAGAATAACAGCATTTGCTTACACTTTACATTACAGTGTGCATGTTGATAGCTAATATCGTCAGTTAAGAAGGTTTTAATAATAAAATGGTCCTTAATAGGCTGTTACTATTTAATGAAACGTATAATTATACTTGCACCCTATACGTGTTACATGGTCACTGTAATGTAAACTGTCAGTGTGCACTCATATTAAGTAATATGGAAGAATAATATCAGCATGGCTGTCATTTGACCGTAGGCAGGTGCCCACGGGTAATCACAGTCGTGCTGATATTCAGTGCTACTGAAATGCTTCTATACAAGGATTCTTTAAACAAGTACAGCGATTAATATCCAGTAACTTACGTTCCAGGCTGATTAGTCCGTATATTTGTTATTCACCAACTAAATTAGTTCCAAAAGAAATGTCAAGCTGTGTGTATCACCAAGCAACACAAAGACTAAAAGACGGTCTGGAGTAGTGTATACGAGTGGAGCAGGGTGACAGATTTCTGCTTCCTTTTGAAAGCGTTATAATCACACGGATCCATCTCCACTCCGGGTTTTTTTCTTTTAAAGCTCCTAATGAGAGAAACTCCGGCCTGAGCGATCTTGATGCTATTGAATCACGACGTTAAAAAAAATCACTGCAGATGGAAAAAATAATAATACTCAGACATTTAAAAAGCATGTTTCCCCCAATGATTAAATAGAAAAATATATATGACTTATATTAAGTTTATTTTAAGTGTATGTATGGTACTTTGAAAAAAAAAAAAAAAAAAAAAAGAGGTCTGCTTATTCAACAGCATTTGTGGCATAATGCTGTCATTTTTCACAAAAAAAGTGAATGAGGCCAAACTCTAAATGTCAAGGTGTAAATAATATGCATGTTAACACAATTTCACTGTGAAAATGACTTTGCCATGACGACGCAATGCCATAAACAAAACAGTATGACATAAACAGCTTTCCAGGTTAAATTATACACAAGGTTTGAGAGAATATGAATGTGCAGTTCTAAAATATAAAGCTACACATTTCTGCTTTTTCATTAAACATTTTCAAACATTTGATGCAATACACATATTGTGAACACAACTAGATTCACATTACATCTACAAAGGTTAAGGTGAGCGTCATGGGTAGAGTCACCGCAGGACTCCAAATAAAAATAGTGTATGAATATTGCATGCGAACCTTCCAAGCAGTTCACTACCATGTAGCCATCCACCACCTCACTCTTCTCCCCATTGTTTGCAGTCTTCACTGTCACTTTCTAAAATGAAAAAATGTTTTTTTTAAATGTTTTCCATTTTGCACTCTACATCTACAACACCTAAGTATCCAATACGTACACTGTAATCAGTTTTATTGCATGTACTGTGCATAGTAGCTAAAGTCACCTAATATAAGGTGGGACTAAGTGAATTTATTCAAATTCATCTGTAAATAGCAGTTTGGGCACCATCTTGTGGGTATGGGATTTTTCAGAGAGGAACACCAAACAGAATGCTCAGAAACTAATATGTTCGATGTCCCTTCTTCTGCTCAGTTAGCTATCGTTTGACAAGAAAAGTGGGCCAAAGCTCTCTTGGGAACCTCCAGCTTTGTATTCAATAGTTGCATGGTTCAATGACTCGTCCCTCCACATCAAAACATTGCATTGGTAACAGGCCCAGTTGCTACACGTGTGAAACCGGAGGTGTTTTAATACATGAGGTGTGAGTTCCTCAGGCACTTATGATGAGGCGTGAGATGACATGCATGCTTTTTGGGGAAAGCTTTGCTCTGTGTTTATATGTGTTCATCAGCACGGATGTTGTTTGGGATGAGAATAAAACCTCATTTGGAGTACCTGACTGTTGTGAAAAGGGCTAGAATGAATCAGCTGTTTTGGTCTCCTTTGGCATTTGTAAAAAGATCATAAGAAAGGGTACAAATTAAGGATTTTTTTTTTCCCTGATTCTTCATGATTACTGTACATAATTAACATTTATCAGTTTTGTGTTTTTTATTCCTTTTTTTTTGATGGACCTGTATCTTGATTCCATTTTATGAGTTCCCCAGAGTTCTTTGTAATTTCAGCAAAGTAATTATTTCCTCATTTAGACTTTGAAAATTCAAAGTCATTACTCAATACAAGATTATGTTAAGACAGCATTTTAATGGGGCTTCCCATTACATATCGTAACATCATACTCACTTATGTATTTATATCCCAAATGTTTACTATAACTACTTACAACAAACAACATTATTATTATGTCAGTTGTGCAGCGCATTCGATCTGAGCATTATGATTCCTCTTGCAAAGCCTCATGCTCTGTTCGCTCTTGGGCCTTTAAAGGTACATGAGAGAGAATAGTTATTGAATAATGTAAATGAATGAAGCATTGTATCCTTAATCTTCTGTTATATGGTAATACATTTCTAATAAGCTGCAACACAGTCTTGTGTCTGTTTGGCTCTGTATAGTTCAGGGCATCATTTTCATGACGTTGAGGAGGCACTAATTATGTCATGCTGTTTACAGACTGCAAATGACTCTTTATTGCAATAGAGCCCTTTAGTTATGATGTCAATTTGTAGGCCAAACCGGAAGGATAATGCTTGATGGTTTTCCCTCAGGAATTTCTAATGGGTTTTTAAAATAGTGGTTTTGGATACATGAGTAAAATAATGTCAGTGGTTAACATTACTTGAAGTGACATTCCCATTGTGTTTCACGACATGATTTACAATGAGTCATAGCTCAAATGTGGATTTCTTTTAACCGCTGTATAAAAAATGTGTAATAATAACAATTAATTACACTAAATGAGACCCTGGTTAAAATAATGTAATAAGTTTAAGTAATGGTAATACAGACCATATGTTACTCATAAAAAAATATACAAATAGAAACAGGGGTAACACTTTACTTAAGGAACCAATTCTCACTATTATAGTTGGTTAAGCATGAATATTACTAACATATTGACTGTTTATTAGCACTTATAAAGTGCATATTAATGGCTTATTCTGCATGACCATATTTTAGACCTTAACATTAAAGCATTAGAACATAACAACTTACTTACTGACTATTAATAAGCAGCAAATTAGGGGTTTAATGAGACAAAAATCATAGTTAATAGTTAGTTAATAGTGACAACTGGTCCCCAAAATAAAGTGTTAGCGAAATAAGGAACCAATGGTTCAAAACTTGAAATAAAATAAAAAATGTTGTTGGACTATAAAGTGAACATATCCATTGTAAATAATTATAAGCATGAAATAAACACTCTAAATTGATATAGGCATTATGAAGAAGCTTTCCAAGCATATGCAACACAGTCTTCTCTTGATTTGAATCCTGAAACATTTGAGATTCTTTTCAGATTGGGAAATCATTTTCACGTTGATGCAAACATATGTTGAGAAGATTATACTAATTGTGCCATACTGTTCTTTTTACCACCATCAGTTCCTGATAAGGAATGTCAGACTGTTAAGCTCCCAATAAGACTTTCACTGGAGAGTATTACAAGTATAAACCCAAGTCCAGGCTTCAGAAACTATAGTCAGCAATCACTCTAGAATTGAGCCTTTAAATATGAGCAATAAAACAAACTGAAAAATAAATAGCTGGGACAGTCTTGAAATAGGAAAATCCACAAACACCGAGCTATAGTTGCAGCCTTTCAGAGCAGCCACTGGGACATGACCAGAAGTCTTCTGAGGATGTGGCATGTGTAATGCAATGCATTAGAGCTTGATTGTAATGTAGACCTTTGTCTTGACCTTTGTCTCCACTATTTTCCAATGTGTTCCCTTCCCTGTGTGCATTAGGTTGTATGTAGGGGGATGGGCACATTTACATTAGTGTGGAATTGTCTGAAGCAATGTGTTGAAGGAGTCGGCAGGGTCTTATCTGGTGTTGGCTTTGTTTACTTGCAGAACAGGGTGGCAGGTTGACGAATGCAGTAATCAGATTGGGCAGAGATCCCTCTGCGACTGCATTGGGGAGATGTTTCTTGTCTCTCTAAGACTGGCATCCTGTCGACTACGCCAACTACTGCCTGTGCTGCTACTGTGAGCATGGGCAAAAAGTTATTCTTCACTAAACTGAACAGAAATTCATGTTGCTTTTTCAGTTCAGCTATTTTTTGGGCTTTTGCCTTTGTCCAAAAATACATTTTTGTGTTGCATTTTTCAAATGTTCAAATGTTGTTTTCATTACAAATTATTTTATCAGCATAACAATTTCAATAAATTGTTAAATGCTGATATTATAATTAGTAATGAAAATGACAAAACTGTGAGAAAAAAAATTCACAAATGTATTTTGAACCCCAAAGTAGATACAGAAAAAGATGTGCAAAAGATGAAGACGTTTTGCCACTAATAACTCATTCCAGTGGAATGGTGGGCAAACATACCTTCTTGTGTTATTGCATGGTTCAAAGGTCTTTGAAAATGTGTGTCAAGCATCTCAAGAGACGATGACTTGTTTTTTAGCAGGTGAGCTAATTACAAGCAACATTCTTCCAAAAACCTCAGAAATTCTCATGGCTATAGAGCACCTGTGCACAGAAAACCTGAGAGAAGGAATTTAAGTAATACATGTAATATATCAATGTAATTATAAAAAAAAAATGTGTTACAACAAGAAGTTACTTTTCCCAAATGTTTCAGTTTTATCAGAATTACTATTACTACTACTACTACTACTACTACATGTAATAAATAAATGTATCATAATAAAACATAATTAAAATGTGTTATAGTGTGTTATATTTTTCCCAAATTATTCATTCTAATTATTATTGTTATTGCAAATTTTATAATAATTATAATTGTAACTATATTTATGAATA